AAAAAAAAAAAAATCTCTCCAAGAAATGCATTGTCTACTATGTCCCAAATTGCCTGCACATGCCTAAAGTTTCTTAGCCCCTATTTGGTCCTTATTTTTTTTAAAATTTATTTTCAATCATATATTTTATGAGATACACAATTCCTATTCAATTTCTATCATACATTTCATCAATTTTTATTAAATACTAAAAATCTGATTTTTATGGACGTAATACTATTATAAACTTGAACAAATTGATTGCTAATTTCTTTTCATGAAGGGAAGTCAACTTAGGTGATAAGCCTCACAATGAAATAACTCATTTAACATCAATATAATTATAACTACAACAAGATCGATAATCAAGACAAGGAACAAAAATAAGTTGTTTAAGATATGAAAAAAAAGGCCAAATGCTTGATCAGATTCTTGGCTTTCTCTGTTTCAGGATCGAAGAAATGGAAGCAATGATCTTTTCCTTCGACCACCACCATCTTCACTTCGCCATTCTATCCACTTTTCTTCACCGTGTCAACATAAAAGTCCGTCAATACTATTGGGAATTTACTTAACAAGTACAGCGAAAAATTAAATATTTATCAATTCCCACCACGGATCTGGATAGTGTATAGATAGAAACTGTGTTGAGAATAATTCCTTAGATGAATTCTGCAAACTCATTANGCTGATTCTCAAACTCCAATGATCATAATCTGTAATCCAAGTTGTCCAATTGTCCAGCCTCCAATGGTGATCCACATAGAGAACAAGAATGACGGTTAGGGTTTTACTTTTCTTGTGCTAACAAAAATAATGAAAATTTCATACAGTTTACAAACCCTAACAGCCTATTAATATAAGTCCAAGTGGGGCTGACCCATCTCTAAACTTTACCCGGTCCAATATTTAATTAATCCAATTAATTAATTCGGGCCTATTAAGAAGCAACTCAATTAATTGATTGTAAATTTCATTCTTCCGGTTCTCTTTTGTGTTGACCCATTAGGTTCCCGACCACGATACCTAATGACGTGAATTATTATTTTGATCTAATCAAAATCGATAAATTAAAACATCCCTTTTAATTTATCACTAATTCACATTCGTCGTCCCAGATTGACATCTAGCAATGTGTCGGGCAATACATGTGATGAGAAATGTCACGTGATGTGACAAACCAAACTTGTTCGTTTACCGTGAAATTATAATCCTTTCGTCAATATGATCCAATTAATAATGAGATATGGATACGTGTCAATCTCAACTATCGATCATATCTTTTATCCCAGTGTTAAGTCAATGTAAGTCGAAAACTCTTTTCGAATTATGAGTTCACCTTGGTCAATGATTTCATTATTAACTTAATTGGATAAAATGCAGATCATAATCTCTTACTATCTAAAAGCGACGAATCCTCTATTGATCATTCACGACCTTCATATGTCGATGCTGTATTAGCGACTCTTGGCTGAGTAACATCCAACACCATCAAAGTATGACTGTCCTCATATAAGGTACTATGACGATCTCAAGTCAAAGGACCAATTCCACTACCAAACGTTAGAGATTAACCACTAACACTCAGATAGTTATTAATGTGGAATCTCTCAGCGGGTCTCCAATATTTTGTTCTATAACAAAACATCCACGTGCTCATTCAAGTGTCACCACACTTTAGCTTGTGAGATCAGCTACTTACTTCACAAGTAAGAATGCCACACGCGATGATCTATCCGTAATAACGATATTCGTATCTCGTTATTACTTCAACCACGGACGATTTAAGATTCGAACATTTGTAATTTGTATCTCACAATTACAATTCCTTGTGATTAGCAAATCACCAAAACTTGAATCTACAGATTCTATTATTTAATTTATTAGAATATTAATTCAATTAAATAATATATATTGTCATACATGCATTAATTATATATATATTTAAAGTGTTTATATTCAAAGTTGATTGGACCTAGGGTATAACACTTACAAATACATCTTTCTCTGCTAAACAAACCAGCAATCTTGAACACTCCAGCCAGGATAAGCTTGGCTATCAGCAATAGCAAATGGATTCACCATTGGATTATCAATCCCGCCTAGAGCAGATGGATAAGCAAACAACCAAATCTTATAAAGCAAACTCTGTTTAATATCTTGATAAATTTTATGATATGAATGGATTTGGGAGGTGAGAGAGAGATCATTCCATGGTTGCCCTGTCTTCTATTATATATGGTGAAATTACGTCAACAAGCACGTAGAAATTGGATTACAAAAGAGTTTCAATCAAATAAGGAAAGTTGGTTTGTCGTGCGCATGATTATTTCTCTATGCATTTTTAATAATTTTGTCATATTTTTCTCCTCCGATATCTGATTAAGGAGATTCAAAGTGCATTGAAAAGTTAACTTAAAGGACTACAATTATAGTTGATATAGCATTTTTTTTTAATTCGAACATTTACTATTTCGTCAATTTTCGCCCATTTTTCGTTCACTTCTTCCAATTTCACTTCGCTGAGTTTTACATAAAAAAAGATAAATATTGAGATTAGATTATAATTTATCAAAAGTAATACAAAA